CACAGGCCGGATCCTTTAACTGACAAAGCTTGTTTCTAATTCAGTTTGTGGGTTTGAATGCCAGCCACTTTTATTCCTGCATTGCAAAGGACTCTTCACCGTAAGGTTTCCGTGGTTGCTTCTTTGTGTGGAAGTACTACTGATGATTTAGATCCCTTAATGTTGATGTTGTCATTATCCTGTGCATGCATGTTTGACATGCATGTCGTCATTACTATTATTATTAATATTATTATCACTATCACCACTACAATTATTATTTATTTCATTTTTACATTTCCCTACATACTTCCTGATTAATTTATCAGGGTAATTATTAATTAAGTTTCAAAGCTTCTCTTGTATGCCTCACTCCCTGTCTTAGATTGTCATTGGTACTACTTAGTTTTTGTGCTGTATTACTTAAACATACACCATTCCTATTTTTACTGACACTTTGTTCGAAACGTCATCCGGTAAATAATACATCTGTTTCACTGTGTGATATATCTAATAAACAAACTAATATGGAATATACAGGATGTGTTTTTTGATACAATAGAGAATATTCTCAAGTACAGAAATTCACACGATTCTTTATATAATAAAATATTTTGTCAGTTTTTCTGAGTCGTTGAGTGAAAAATAAAATGGTTCAGTGAATACATTTACATAACAGAGACATTATTCTCAGGAGCTGCTAAGTTTTTAGCTTAATTACAACTTGTATTTTACATGTAACCGGAAAGAATGCTAACATGGTTTATAATACAAGAAATATTAGCAGCACATGACGCATTTAATCAGCCGATATATACTATCTAACATAAACACATAGCTTGAATAAAGAAAGACCGAACATATTTGCAGGCAGGATAATAGAAGCCCGTTTTATTTGGTGGGTTGATTCTCTCCAACTGCCCGTCAAGTCAATTATATTTAATTTAATTTAAGATTTTCCTGTCGCTTGATTGGACCAAAGTGCTCGGTCTGAGATTGACATGTCGGCTTCTTGTGCAGATGCTTCGACGATGTCTGGGAATGTAATTAAAATTTAATTGGTGGATGGTGATTAGCAGTGGAATCAGGGATGCGCGTTTCGTCCTATTTGACCCGCTGCACAAGAGGTGGCTCTCGTGGCCCAAGTGGTCTAGTGGATAACGCTTTGGCGTTTGAAACTATGGGCACTGGGTTCGAGCATTGGTGGGAACATCATCACTCACTGCAGAATGAAGACACATCCAGTGGAAGAGTCTCAAATAGGACGAAGTGCGCATCCTGGATTCCACTGCTAGTCACCATCCACCAATTAAATCAATTATATGTTACAAAATAGTGTCTGAACATACTTTTGACAATGATTTCAAGTTATGGAGAGGGAGAGAGTGTGTAAGCATAATATTCCACTCAATCTTGATTTTAGTTTTCACTTACTCACTGAGTTGAACTCATTACTGAGGTTCTAAATCTACTAAATTAAGTTATTTTATCTATTTTATAATTTCACTTCATTATTCACCCCCACCCAACCTTCTCAACTCTCCAGCATAATATGTATGAGTTGAGTCTGTTGTTCCACTTGTATTTTGTCTCTAGCCCATCCTTGTTTCCAAGAGAAATTTGAATTCGACACCTTTGTCGAATAACTGTATAGGCAGTTACTCTTTTAACACTAAATAATTGTCTACTTATATCATCTTTCTAACTATGTTGCCTATACTTTCCATCTATAACACTTGAAGTTATTGTGTAAAGTATTTTCAGAAGATTTTGTAACGTATAATTGATTTTTTAGGATGTACGTAGTTGAAGAGAATCCACGGGATAGAACCGGCTCGTATTATCAAAATCTCAAGTATCTTTGTTCTTTCTTTATTCGAACTATTCAAAAAGAACCAGATGTAGGAAAACGCAAAGTTGATTACTGCAGACAGTGAAAGAGAGAGAGGAAAAGTGAGTATGGATATCTTTTGTGTTTAGTCAGTATGCAAAATAATCATGTAATTCCAAATAATGACGACATAAATGACAAACATTCACAGAATAACGACAACATCAACAATAGGGAATTTCAGTCATCAGTAGTACTTCCATGTAAAGAAGGAACCTCGGAAACTACACGGTGGAGGATTCTTAACAAGGCAGGGAGAAATAAAAAAGGCATTTAAACTCCTCAAAACTCACTTAGAGACACTTTATATGTTAAAGGATTCTGCCTGTGAACCCTAATTAACAATTTAGTTTATCTAATAACCAACAATGCTTCTGGGGTTAAATATATAAGCCAGAGAATGTAGAACACTACAGGTGGAATATGTCGAAGCCAGCCAGCCAGACTGGGAGGGGCAAGATACACCTTCATCAATCTGAAATAAGTTTAGAAAAATTCTGCACTCACTATAAAAATAAAGATTCAGATTGTATTCAACACAAATGTCGGTGAAGTCAGTCTATATGGATCAGAAACGTGCGTTATGAAAAGGATTTCCAACAGTTTACTGCAGACTGTTATCAACAGCTGCCCCCTTCGCCGGCTCCATAATGAATAAATCAAGTGGCCAGTCGGCCAATGAACAAACCACCCAAGAGCCGATCGCTCAACAAATATATACGAGAAAATGGGGATGGATTGATTGTAATTACGTTGATGAGTCCGTCGAATGACATTGCGCACAATGCAGGCATTGGGAAACTGAGTGAAATAATCACTTTTCAGTACAGTAGTCTTGACTTCTATTTCTTGATCATCAGAGATCTTGAAATTCATGATCTATCGTTCAGCGCGCACCCTGTCCAAGAGGAATCAAGAACTTTATCCAGCATGGTTGCGAAAAGGCAATAGTGGTGCAATAAGGAGTGCGATAATTGAACACCTGGTTATCACTGTTCATTCCATCTCAACAAACGACACCTTCAAAGTAATCTACAGAGTCAAGAATAACCTATCAGAGGCAATACGGTTTGGCCTTCTTTGTATCGCTGACGCTCTGGTCATTCAAATTGAAAAACCGGAGCTGTGCATACAAAAGAGAATTAATCAATCACTTCTACTGTCATGGTAACAAATTCGTTGATTTTGATAACTTAATTTTGTTTATTCGCCTGTTCTTTAATTGCTTATAATTCTTGTATTCATCTAGAAATCTTATGTAATTTCGTATTCTCTACTTTTTTCCTATAGGTATCCTGAGTAAAACTCAACCATCAAACTATTCATATTATTACATAACTTCTTTTAACAACTGTTTGTGACAACTCATCACCTTTGTTACTACCCTAATTTCACTAACACCTAATTTTCTTGACTGATTTTGTATTACGTAACTCCAATTACCAATCTTCACCTGTTTAGTTAAAACAACCATAACCAACTGTATTTTGTTTACCAAACTTAATGTACACATACACACAAGATAACACATATGTATTTGCGATTGTATAGCTAAGAAAATGAATTCACCGAAAAGAGACTCTTCGCTGATCTAAGTGTTTTGTTCTCATTAATGCCTGGAAGGGGAATTATCCATGAAATTCATGGTCATCGTTTCTTGACATTTCTTCAGGAGAGATTCTCTTGTCCGTTCACTGTTGGCTACATTAAATGAATATTCTTCAAGTGTGTCTAATTATCAGCTGAATGTATTTAGATTAAACCAAGCAATTGATACCAGATCGATTTGTAGGAACTATGCTGCTATTGTTGACTTTTAATACATATAAATATATCCCAAGCCACTATGTATACACAGTTAGCTCCAAAGAGTCAGGTGAATCAAATGTGTGCTCGTAGATTTGAATCTCAAAGTCTTTCAGAATTGCGCAGATACATCTTGCTGACGAGTGACAACAAGCAGAACATCTACTTCTGCGGATTTCTGTTCACTGCTTCTAACCATTTAACATCTAATAGATGTTAACAGAAGTTTTAATTAAATGCTGTTATGTGGCGCTTTTAAGAATGCTGGCTCTGTCAGCACTAGAATCTATTTTTGTGACAAATTTGAATGAGGAGGCATTCATCGGAGAAATACTTTCACAGTCTCCTTTCGTGCTGTAACGATCATAGCCAACATGTAGTGCTCTGAACGTAGGAAATAAATCTTTTCGTTTTAGTGTATCACTGACGATAGCTTCTTCGAGTTAACCACAGTCACAAAATGCCACAACAACAGCGGCAGCAAAAAGAGAGTTACTCTCAATAAGATCTACATAAAAGTCTCTATCACTTTCAAAAATAAGGTTGCCGGTTCTCCTAGATTTAAATCTCGGAATACTTCACAGACCTATACGGCAACATCAGAGGAAGATAATAACATAATTGCGTTGTTGAAAGCTGTGTTTTTAGTAAACAATTTAGAAGAGATAGGCTGACAGCCGTCAGAGAGATGACATTTCAGTTGGTCAGTAGTCGTGGACTGGGAGGTTCTACCAACAAACAGATCTGAATTTATATGAACTATGATCAAGACTTGACCGAATAGTTTCAAAATAATTGGGCGCTGAGTGAGAAGTTTGAGGTCAAACTTTGATCACAGGTCGTACAGTTTTGTTTATTATACATGTTGATATCTGTTTCATAAGAAAATTATGTGAGTAGTGCCTTGATATGATTATGAACAATAATTTGTGCTCGAAGCGTGGTCATCAGTAAATACTACTGTATAACAAACACACTGTGTGACTTTATCAAAATAAAATTTTATCCATTATGGAGTTAAACTCCACCACAGTGCCAAAATTTTATCCTTATATCAATGAGGCAAGAATATTTCATACGGAATTCTAGCTGTTGCTATCATCAGCATAACCGATTTATTGTAGGTGAGATAAGACCCTTTCAAGTATTAACACTTATTGATTTCACTCAAAAGCCCAAGCAAAAAGCAAACTTGGTAGTTTTATCAAACCAGTGGATGGTATTTTGACATATTTTGACAGCGTATATGAAAACCGAAAGTTCTTAAAATGGAATGTATGATAAGGGAAGCAAAACACTGAACAATACAATCAGCATAACTTACCAATCATGACACAGATAATTAATGATACGGATGTGTTTCGTATCCCCTTAGTTGTCATATTACGATCACGTAGATTAAGGCCAAATAGAATGCACATAATTGGATCCTAAAAAATGAAGAGAAAAACTAAGGTTACTACTGTCGCAACAGAAGTCAAGGGCCAGGACACCAGATCGTTTATTAAGGAAAATCAACACATATTTATAGATTTCAATGTACATTATTGTAGATTATTGTTAGTAGAAAATATAGTCTTTTGATTGGTTGTTTCTTACAGAAAGTTAACCTTGCATCTCTTTGTGGCTGTGTCAGATCATCCATATGCTAACTGTATCCACCTACGCAAAGCCTTTGTTCTCATTTTCTCACCACCAATATTGGGGACATAAAAATTGACGTCAATTACTGTCTACCAATTTGGCTAGCAGCCAGCTCTCACCACACTACTACTACAGAACAATCAGTTGTTAGAAAATATCATAACTCCAGTTGAAAACTAATCAGGACATCGAAGAACAGATCACTTTGCTTTGAGATGATTCTATATTCATTGTGTTAAATCAAGTATCTGCGTAAAACTCAGAAGTAGTTACGTTTCAGGTTAGACCACCGATTGGTATATCAGTTAGAGGAGCATTGAAAACCGCCTGGAAGTACTAAACAACTATTTCATCCTAGTTTGGCACTCATCGACAGTGCGTACCCACAGGATTTCGAAGCCAGGACCTTCTGGTTACAAGGCAAACTCGTATAGCATTCAGTCACTGGGACCCGATTCAATGGCCACCCCATGAATGCTAACTTCTACTAATTCATGATTTTAGCGTGACCTCCAGCCATTGTCATCGGCGTTCACTGGTCACGACTTCTCACTAGAACTCCAGGCGACCTCGTCCTGAACTCAGTCACTGGCGAGCATCAGATTAATTTCCAAGAGTTTATTTGTAGGGATTTGATTTCCTTTTCAAGTTTGCTCACGGATTGATATCAGTTAGAAAACAATTGAAAACTAAGGAGAATTTCCAAGAAACCTGGTGGGTGCGTACTGACGACGAGTCTCAAACTAGGATGAAACAGCTGTCTGGAAGTGCTCTCGGTTGGTTTTCAGCATTTCTCTAACCGATGTCCATCCATGATATAACCCGACACAAACACAATCCCTACAAAAAACCAATTCTTGAAAACTTTTGGTAGTTACATGAACCTTTAATATTCATTAGTGATATCCACGTAGCTTGAAAGGACGTTTGGCGCGAAGGGAATCTTCTTTTTGATGAAGTCATCAACTACGCTGTACATTCATGTATATACATATTAGTTAATGAGTGAGAAAGTTCCAGAACTATTTCTTGTCAAGAGTCAGATAACTAAGATTACAAATAGAGATTGAAATGTATTAATAACAGGAAGATCATATGTGTTTCCAGGAGGTGGGTGTCACGAATTTCCTAGAATAATTTGAGCGCCGAGTCAGATTGAATCATTATAAATTATTTAAAATTTGTCTTGTAAAAAGACAAACTGACGACAAACTAAGGTTCACGATATCTAGGAAACCAACACATCCAAAAAAATATTTCAATTTCCAATCAGATCATCCAGTAAGAAAGAAAGATTCAGTAGCTTTAAATCTCGTTATAACGGATCTAAGAACATTAAAACAGATAATGATGATATGGAGAACGAGATCTTCAATATAAAACAAATTTTGATTGGAAATGGTCATTCGAAAAGCTTCTAAATAATATTATTAGTAAAAGGGGACAGAAGGAAAAACAAAAAAATGAAGAATTCTTGACTGTTGACGGTAGCTTTTCCATATCGAAAAGATGCAGCTGAACAACTCCGAAGAGTACTTGCTTTACATAATATTAAAGTCTATTTTAAGCCCTCTAATTCTTAGAGAAAGCTTTGGGGAATGTCAAAGATATGGTTCTCAAAATGACACTAGACAACTCTGTCTATAGGATAAAGTGTTCAGAATGTGAAGCTTGCTATATAGGGGGGGGGAGTAGACAGGTGAAGGTCAGAGTGAATGAACATAGTCTGTACACGAAATGTCCACCTAGAAATGAAATAGAATAAAAAAAGTCTAGAAAAAAGATCAGCTACAGTAATGCATGCTGCAGACAGCGGAATTTCGATCGATTTCGACAGTGTCGAAATCGGCCATACGAATCGAAAAACCGGAGCTGTGTTCTCAAAAGAAACTAGTCCAACCTCTACATTCACCATAGATCTAGTTCAGTTTGTTCCTTAGGTCTCTATTTTTCATCCCCTTCATTTTTTCTCTTGTTTCTTCCTTTTCATTTTCAGCTATAAAATGTTATTCTTTCAGCTTTTTCCCATGCTCATCCCATCACATTTTTAGTCGTTTAAAACCATTTCTAATCCTATATAATTTCGTTTCTAAGCCCCTTCTAATCAATATTCACACCTTCAAACTGTCATGTCGAGTTAAAAATTATCGCCACCTTTAATCTTCTTTGTAACTATGTTGAATCTATGTGAACCTGTGTATATAAATGCGACTGTATAACAGCTTTTGAGAATGAAATCTCCGAAAAGATATGTGTTTGTTGAACATCTTGCTCTTTTATCTAGGAAAGCGTATACCTCCTTATTCTAAAATAATCCAGATCCATAGCTGGACTCGATACATATCTAAATTGACTAACCAATAACAATTTCAGAGTGACTTTTCGTCTTTTTCAACTGACCTAAACTCAAGTATACTGTTATGAAAAATACAAACACAGCCGTGTAATGTAATTAATCTTGTCGATTTCTAAGAAAGTCTTCCGACTAACCTTCTACATTAAGAAGTTAAGACAATCACGTATCACTTAACCTCTACACTAACAGTTTGTTAACTCTTGCATCTTTTTATAACGTTGTTAATTACTTTCCGGCCTCCCCCTTCTCCTCCTTCATTTTTCCAGGGCTACTCAAAATCGGCTTTCTCATATTGTCATATTGTGAAGGGTATTAAATAAAGATTGTTACTAGGCTGTAATCGACAGACATCTGAACAACTCATTTGCCCGATAGTGGGCTAAATCCATATTGTCTGACTCTCATCACCATCTTTATTCACAACTCTCCCTTTCCACTGAATCTCATCAGGTAGGACTGGGAGTTATCATAAAAAAATTGTATGCTCACTGGCACAACTAAGTGGAAAAGGTCAAAGATATCCTAATTTGTCCTGTTAGTCTTCTATGTAATAGAGATGGTGTTAATAGTGTAACGTATAATTTACTATGTAACAATATGTGCGTCGGTGGCACAAGGGTAGAATTCCTGTCAACCAGGCACTTGGTACGGGGTCTGATCGCCAGCCGATGCATTCCCAAATCTCTCTAAGCCAGTAATAAGACTGGTAAGGAGGGAAGGTTGGGCATGAGTCTAGCAACTGCATCCTATAAAAATAAACGCCACTGTTACCGAAACTTCAAGCCTCTAGCTTGAAGCTTTATGTTCCACTGGAAGCGTACAGGAATTAGAGAGATGTAACAATAAAATGAATGGCTCTTAGATCTTCTCCTATTTGTTATCTATAATGACACTTTTTCAATTATCTTATTAATTCAGTTATTAATATTATTAGTGTTATTATCACCATCACTTTATACATTTTGTAGATTTTGAATTTATTGTTACCGTTATTGTCGGAAAGGTTGATGTTGTCAATTTCGGTTATCCATACCCTGTTATATTACTTTTTTCTTTTTCTTTTGTTGTTGCTGTTGAGTAAATTATATGCAATTTCGTATTAAATGCTGAGAATTCCAAGTTGTATCACAAGTATTATTTTGGAATAAAGCAAATTATCATTATTATTACAAACATTTTTCATATAATGATAAACTTATCAGTGTATCATTGTTAATATTAATATTGCAACTACTACTTTTTAACACTTAACTGTCATCACAACACGCAAAACTGAGAGTCTTTTCTACACTGATGACTGACCTATCTCAATTCCTATCAAAAGTTCATTGTACAACCCAATGACAAGTAGCCAACAAACGCCACTATCCTTCCGATCGAATAGAATGTTATATAATGTGTACACTTTTTCAAATAAAGAAGAAATACGTACCTATCGGGGTTTCAACCTAGGACGTTCCGGTTGCAAGGCGAGCTCGGGTCACAGTGGCTTAATAGTCTACGAGTTCGCTTGCCCTTTTAACCGGAAGGTCCTGGGTCCGAACCCTGGCAGTGGGTGCGTACTTATGAAGAGTCCCAAACTAGGACGAAACAGCTGTTCAGTACTCTCAGCTGGTTTTCCAATGGTTCTCTTACCGATGTCAGCTCATGATGAAATCCTGATACATATTGAACGTAGGAGTTTAAATCCAGACTGTAGCCTTTTTAAAACAGAGCATGCAAAAGCGAACACTATTGTTTTCAATTAGATCTCATCATCAGGCTCAACTCTAATATATCTACATAACTTTACAAATAAATATTCAAATATAAACCAATCACGGTGCTTTGTCAATAGGATAATAAGATTGTGTATATAAATTGCGTAATCATTCATAATAACAGTAATGCTAATAATAATAATAATAATAATAATAATAATGCTTCTATCAATAACAAGCATGAAAAAGTGAGTCGATGTGTGATAACAAGAATATTGATGAAAAACAGCATGACTGAACAAACAAATTTTAAGGTAGACATAGTAGTCAATAAAGGCTAAGAAAAACAATAGGACCGATTAAGTAATGCTAGACTGTAAGGGAAGTAAATAGAATACGATTTAATGATGATGTGATAAGATCAAGGGATTATAAGAGAGGGATTGGAAATATAAGTGATATGATATCTATTGGAAAGATTGGGTGGGATAAGATGAGTTACTTTGAATGCTTTCGTTTTCCCACTACACGACCACTATCAACTAAATGTGACAAAACGAAACCTTTTTTATTGCTTTACGTTCCCAGTGAAACATAGAGCTTCAGGCCAGAGGCTTGAAGTTTCGGTAACAGTGGCATTTATTTTTGAGGGATGTGGTTGCTAGCCTCATGCCCAACCTTCCCTCCTTACCAGCTTTACTACAGGTTTGGCATGCCTAGTTGGCGAGCA